CTTGAGAAGGAACGCGAAGGGGTGGGGGGCCCGAAACCCGCCGGGAACTTCCCCGGGCGGCGGCGGCATCGCGCCCAAGTCCCGCCGGAGCAGCCGCGGCCCCGGCGCCCCTTCCTTACCTCCGGCGTGTGTCCCTCGGGCTCCGCCGCCTCCAACTTCCTCCGCGCCCCGAAGAAGAAGAGGAGGAGGGCGGCGAGCCAGAGCACCCCCAGCAGAGACAGCGCCAGCCGCCGCGTCGGCCGCCTCATCCTCGGCAGGAGGGAAAAGTCCGGCGGGGGAACCGGGAGGCGCTGGGGGGGAGCCGCGGGCGGCTCTGGGGGCAGCGGGAGCGGGACTGGCCGCGAGGAGGGTCTCGCCCGCCCGCCTCGAAGCCGGCGAAGCGAGTCCCGGGCTGTACATGCTCTGCAGGGGAGGGGAGGGGAGGAGGAACGGGAGGAGGAGGCGCCGGGAGGAGGGGGGCTAGAGCCGGAGCTCCAGCCGGGGAAAGGTGCAGCGGGAAGGCAGCCGGGCTGGTCCCCGGGGAGCTCCTGCCCTGCCCGCTCCGCGCCGGCGGGGAGGCAGCCCCGGGGACGGGGACACCGAGGGGTGCGGGGGTGTCTGCGCGTAACCGGGGACGCCCCATCCCTCTGTCCTGCCTCCGTGAGTGAGTGCGGGGCACTTGCCCGCGAAGGGATGCGCGGGGCTGGGCAGCGCCGCTGCGAGTTTGGCCCGGGTCGGTCCCGGTCCCCGCCCGACTCCGGGGCGAGAGGAGGCCACCGTTCAACAACACACAGAGGAGGCTCAGACATGATGGGAAGATTAATTTAACCAATTGAAACAGCAGGGGGAATTCAGGTAGGTGGAATTTAATTACTGGATTTGGAAGAGAAGATGTGTGTCTCTAGAGCTGTCAAGAACACGTAAAAAATAAAATCATAATCATCAGCTGTTGGTATTCCAGCAGCAGCTTAATGCCAGGCCATGGTCCTGCAAGGATGGCCCTCAGCCGTCATCCTTGTCCCATGGGGTGTTCTTTGCTGGCCCTACACGCAGCCCCAGCACAGCAGGCCTGTCCGCACAGCACAGCCAAAGTGGGAATTACAGACCTTGGTGAGGGGGAAAAAAAACCTAACACAACTACAGAACAGGACTCCAGAAAAGAGCTGTCTCACCCAGCTGTCCCTGCTCGCCTGATGCTGCTCTTCTGATCTTGCCACTGATAAGTATTACATGAGCTGCGCAAACCTTTGCAGAAGACATTAGAGAATAAATTAAGTATTGGAGCAGATGTGAGTCATTCATGTTAGTACAAAAACTATAGAACTATAGAACAAACCCCATAAAAACAGGAATCTATGCATAAAGTAACATATGGAATGAAATAGAGATAAGATGTCAAATGCTGGAAAGTCCGATGCACATGTTGTAAACAACCTCTCCTATGCATTTCCCACACACTCCTCCTGGCTTTATTATTTCCTGCAGTTGTTTTCTGTCACTTACTAATTTATCATTTGCAATCTTCATCCTCTGTCCTCTTCTGATTTATTTCCAGGGCTCAATAAGCCCTTCTCCCTAACATAATCCATGCCTCTCAGGCCCAACATTCACAGAAAGATGCCCAGATAAAAATTTCATTAGCATCCACAAAAAGGGACATTTCTCTCTCTTTGTTTTAAAGCCGTGTGACTTTGAAACACCTTTACCAGAATGAGGAAATCTAGGTCCAGCAGGCAGTTAGTTTGAACTTTATTTTACAGCCAGGCAGGAGCAGAAATAACGAGGTGGGAAGAGGGCAGAAAGCCCTCAATGCCCTGGTGAGCCACCAACCTGATGTCACATGGGAAGCCCACACCAACCTGAAAATGCAACCTGTTCCCATGGTGTGAATCATTTGCCACACCAATTAACCTTCCTCAGCCCCACATTCAGGGTAGCTGGGCCATCACACTTCATCTCGGCCACCATGAGATATCTCTGCCCAGTCTAGCTGGGACCTACAGGTACTGCTCTCTCCCCAAACTGTTGCCTTATGCTTTTTCCTGACAGCCAAGGTAAAACACCTGAGCAGCTTTCAGTAGCTGAGGCACATCAGTGGTAGTTTTTACATGGCTTATAGTTGTTTTCTTGCCTTATGCTCATCCCTGCTGTTGGGACAGACTGGTTGCTACCTCTCACGTACCTCCTTTGGATCAGGAATGGCTTCCTGAACAAAAAGATCACCTTGCCACAAGCAGGAAATAGCCATGTGTGTTTTCCTGCCTGGGACAAAGTGACCTTGGCTGCTGTTAAACAGTGTTCCCTCAATACATTTTCAGAGGGTGCTGAGTTTTTCCTACCAGACCTCCCTCTGTGCGAGGAGAGTTTTTCCAGATAAAGGCACCTGGAGGGTGTTATCATTCAAAGCTGGATTAAAAACCTTGTCTTTTTTTGTAGGTCAGACTTTCAGGGAAAGCTATTGCAAAATGCAGAGGGGAAGTATAGAAAATATCAAGGAAATACATTACAAATTAGATTACAGGTAAGGTAATAAATAGGACATACCTGACAAAAATGCAATCAGATAATGCTTTCTTATTACCTTGAGAAACAACTCCCTCTGCTGAGGGAAAGCTTCACTGGCAGGGCTCGGTGCCGTGATGGATAACTCGCCGTGCCCGGCAGAGAAGAGGCAAAGGCCCAATGCTTCCCCACTGGCACTGCCTCCACTCCAGCTAGGAGGGGACACTGTACAAATCCACCATCTGTGCAGGTGTCCCGTGTAGATGCAGGAGACTCAAGGAGCTCTAGCAATGCATAGTTGCCAAGGAAGTATATTCCTCCTGACAGTGTGCCTGTATGCTGGAACAGATAATATATCAAGCAGATGATGGTAACAGCTATTTAAACAAGAATAAGGCAAGAATACAAATCTGGAGGTTCAGAATTATTTGAAGTCGTAGACTTTCAGAGAATTGTATAAAAATCCTACTGCAATTCCATTAAAAACATGGCAATAAAAAAAGAAATCTTCTGTTGTATTATTGACCCGTATCTTTCCCATTTTTTCTAATTTTTCATCTGCCAATCTCAGCTCCTTCACAAGTGAGGTCCATAACATATTACCTGTTTCCAACACAGCAAAATTTACAGGCAGTACAGCCAGAGACAGAAAAACAGTTTAGGAAATGGGTAGCTGGCATTTGCTGGTATCAGCATTGAAAAGCTGATGAAAGTGATTGTTTCGTGAAAGCAAGAATAGGACCTGATTTCTGAGTGGGAGGGGGACTCTTCACAATCACAGCTTCAGACAATGGCCCTTCAGGGTCCTTATGGAATGGGTGGACGGGGAGAGTAGCTTTCCTTTCTGTTTCAAGGGCATCTGTAAAGCACATTTCAAGGGAATCTAATCTCACTGGGTCTACAAACCAGCTGGACACTGCTTCAGTGCATTTTTTACTAGGAATACTCTTGGGTTTGAGTTCAGTTCACATCTGAGATTCCGTTCACAGAGTGTTTCTTTTCCAAAAGGATCACAAATATTTTGCAGGTTTTTTCTCAGAAAGTTAAAAGGGGCTTAAACAGATACAGCCAAGAAGTGATCAGAGGAAAAGATCAAAACCCACCCCCAAACTTGGGGTTACTGAGGAGTCTCAACTTCACACAGGAGGTTATTGTAAGATGGAGGAGCCCCACTAAGCTCTGGATTGAAAGGGGCTTCTAGGACAGAAAGCTCCACTGCCAGCGGAGGATCTGGTTCAGTCAGTGGCTTGGGGTAGCCCAGCACTCAGTGCTGTTCATGGCAGTGCACCCTCCCCAAAAAGAGGTGCTGCTTGCAGTAGCACATGTATCAGAAAGACTGTGTTTGCAAAAAACAAGAGATCAGCATTTGAAAGGGTCAGCATGGCAATACGTGGTTATACAGGGTGCTGGATTTCATTCAGGGGTTAGTGGTGCCTCTGTGGTGCCTGCTCCAGGCTCCAGGGAAGAATCTCATTCAGAAGCTTCTCTCCCAGCCCTGGTAGAGGGTGTGCTACACTTACTGAATTTAACCATGCCGAGGACGGGGCCAGAAGAGGAGGGTGAGCACAACAAGCTGCTCCCAAATAGCTGTTTTGGCAAGTGCCGAGCACTGGCGTGTTTCAGCAGGAGCCCAGCTGTCCCTCGTCACCAGCAGAGGAGGTGCCAGCCTGGGTGCAGAGGCTCCAGGACAGCAAGCCAGCACATGCCCCAGCCCAGCACCACCCCACAGCCCCAGCCTGCTCCCAGAGATGACTCAGCACCATTTGGTATCCCTCTAAGGATGGAGCTGTGCTTCAAATGGCAACAGTCATGTCAGTGGCTTCCAGGTTTATATTTAACACTGGAACAAAGTTCCCTTTTCCAACCTGTAGCTGTTCAAAAAGCCTCCAGGTCACTTGGCCAGTGAGAGGAGAGGAGAGGAAGGGAAGAAGTCCCTTGCACAGGAGTGAGGAGGTTGTTGCTTTGCCATGGGGTCCCCAGCTCTGCAGCACTTGACACCACCATGTCGTGGCCCCTTGGAAAGCTGCTGCAAGGGTGCAAGTGTGTGCTGAGCTGGTGACTCCTACCCACAGCTACCATCTCACACAGCCCTTAGCATTGTGAGGGTAGAAAAGGCTCTCTGGCACCTCAGGCAGTACCCTGACATCTCAAAAAACAGTTTCCATGATGGCTGTTGAAGATAATGTGAACAGTATTCCACATTTTTGTGGCAGGTAAGATCTGCCTTTGTTTTTGTGCTGTAACGGAAGCCAAAAGAGTCAGACCAGTGCTTATATGAAAAATATTCTCCCTGTGTGCTCTTGGAGACCAAAAATGTTAGGGAGAGCTCTGGCCTAATACCAGGAGAATTGCAAGTTAACATACTAAAAAAACAAAACCAAAACTTTATATTGGCTATCTCCTCTCCCTTGCTGAGGTAACAGAACTGTAGCTTGTCCTACGTCTGCAGCTTAAATGGCAGGGTTAAACATGAAGCTGTGAAGCACTCACCTTCTCCTCTTGGGTGATGATATCACTGTGCGCCTCCTGACCTATTGCTGCACTCAGAAGGGGAAATACAGGAGTTCCTGCAGGCTTTTTGCCACTATCAGTGTTGCAAGCAGATCTTTCTTCCAGTACCTCTAAAGGATTTTTTTTCCTTTTAATTAAACTGCAAGCATTCTTCCCTAGCAAACTTTCCACAATGGCATCTCCAGTTAATTAAATGTTTAAGCTGTCAGGAAATGCTATGCATTAAAAAAAATAAAATAAAGAGGAGAGCTACTTT